GACCAAGACAAGTCCAAGACAAGCAGGCTGTCGTTCAGTCAGCGGTGAGGAACGTTGCTCCATAGCTTTGACGAGGCCAAGACACACCAGACTGTTGCTCTCCGCGGAACAGATGGGATGTATTAAGACTAATTGAGGTAGCAAAGACTGATGGAGCAATTTCCCGCGCCTCACAGCAGCAAAGGAACTTGTATACAATATATGTGCTGGGTTTCAATTGTCAGCTCAGGGACTTCAAATTTGCCATTACTCAAAGGGCTGGGAAGGGGTGTGTGGGGTTGAGGAAGGGATACATCGATGAGTTGGTGTGTTAGTTAGCGGGATCGTGCAAAAACTACAAGATGGATTTCCACGAAACTTGATGGAAGGATGTGGTATGTGTACAGATATAGTGTTTTCAAAAATGTCCTTGATTTCTCAGAAGAATTTTGGGGACTGATATTTATGTTCGCTGTTTGGTGCAGATCCAAATAAAAATCTGGATCAAGTGAATTCAAATATGGTTTCATAATGGAACAGTTGGGCCTTGATGGCAGAGTGCCATTCTAGTTCCCATAGTTTTACATGATATGAAGTGGGGATATTTTGTGGGGGTTTCTCCTTCATATTGTTGCCTCTGCTTCATTAGAGTGTTTCATATCTTGGAATGGACGGAGAAAACTATGCAGCTGAGGGTCACAACACATCAGGGTCGGCACAGAGAACAGCTGAATAAACAAACAGCTGTAGACGTGGAGTAAAAACTGCATCTCGACTCAGTCATGTGCCTACGATTGAAACAAATGTACAGTATTATCCTGTAGACCAGTTATTGGCTCTAAGCTGCCAACGACTTCAAATGGAGAAAACAATAAACATACTTCTTCCCATGAAATCCAACAGAACAGATATTATCTCTAAAGGAATCTGAAGGAAGTCACGTCTTCATTAGAACATTTCAGCTCCTTCAAAATTCATTCAAGACACTTTTAAATTCACAGTTTTAAAAACAACATTTTATCGTTTTCTTTCTTGTGACAAAGTATTTGTGACCTCTTCATGACCTTTGCCTCGCTTCAGGCCCTTTCTATTCACTTACATGACATTTCACAACTAAACCGTCTCCTGCCCTTTGCATGAAATGTTTTTAAAACAGGCGTTGTTTGATATCAGTTCAAAATCAAATGAGGTCACTTGTGGCTGCAGTGGGAATCTATGCATGGGTTTGTGTGTGTGTGCGTATATACACACTCCCATCCACACACACAAACACAACAACACCATCCAAACATCCCCTCCAGCCTCAGGGCTTTTTTTTTTTTTTTTACAGAGTCGTGTGTCAGTGCCCGGTCTGCAGCGGAGCGTGCCGTCGCCATTCCTCCACATTTCAGAGTCCAGTTACACCACAGAGGAGGCGTTGCAGCTGCAAGGGGCAAACTTTGCAAACTGGCAAGTTTGTGATTAAAAAAGAAATATTGCACAACTGGAGTTTTGGAAATTTACAAAACTTTGCAGACTTGGTTCATTGTTGCCCAACACTGTCATCTGCTCTGAGTTATGTAACCGATTGTTTACTGTGTATTTTTTTGTACTCGGTTCAGTTTGGGGTGATTTAACTTTCTTTAGTGTATGTCTGCTTATACAACAAACTCGGCTACGCAAAGTAAAACCTGTCATTGGGTTAATGTGGCTGTTGGGTTGAAGTGGAACCTTCATAAGAGTCCAATTACATCTGCCAAGGTGAAATGTTGCTCTGCTGGTTCACCGTGAACTCTGCTCTGAGTTCAGCATTTTAGCCATTTCATGAATTGCTTTTGCAGCACCTGTGCTAAGTGTTGTAACCGAAGTGGTTTGATATCACAGCAAACACTCCTTCAACACTCCTTCGACTGCTGCTTCTTCGGAATTCCTTCAACTGCTGCATCCAGCCAGAAAAATGTTTTAATTAAGAACTCAATTATCATTTCAAATGTGATCGGATTGCAGGAGACATGTGAAGTCGTTTTCAGGGCAACGGCTCCTCTAACCGTGTCTGCAGCTTCTCAAAGAGTTAGAAAGGATTTAATGATGAAAAGATGCCAAGAATAAATGGTAAACTCCATTATTTAAGTCTTAACTACTCAAAGCGCTTTACAGAACAAGTCACACCCACGTTCATGCAGTGCTTCTATACGCAGCACGTTTTCTATCACACACCATTCATACACTGTCAGAACAACCATGAAGGGCAATTTGGGGTTAACACACTTTGGAATGCAGATGCGAGGAGTCTGGGATCAAACCACAGACCTTCTGGTTAGTGGACGCCCCACTCTACCTCCTCAGCACAGCAGTCTGTTTTCTTGATTTGTAGACACTCACGGTCGTTGCTAAGTTACTTGCTCTTTAACTTGTTTTTAACTAAATCACTTGTGAGGTAATTGAGCTGCTTTTCTTGATGTGTTACAGTTTGCAAAGAAACTGAATGACTTACGGCCACAGTGGCTTTATTCAGGACTTTAAAGGTCCAGTGTGTCAGATTTAGTGGAGAATAATCCTCATGATGTTTTCACTCGTTTGTTTCTTCTAAATTCTATGAATTGTAGTTTTTCTTTACCCCAGAAAAGACCCTTTATATTGAAATACTTTATATTTACATGGAGGGGACCCTCTCTACAGAGGCCGCCATGTTTTTTACATTAGTCCAGACTGGACAAACTAAACACCTTTTGAGTTTTTATGACAACTGAAGCTACCACAGGTTTGTTTTCACTTTTAGAAGGGGAGGGTGAGGTGAGGGGTGTTCAGCTGCAACATGCAACTTCAACACTAGATATCACAAAATTCTACACACTGGACCTTTAAATGAGTCGTCTGTTCTTCGCAGTGAGTTCGATATGAGGCTCCGCTCCTGGTGGAGTAAATGCAAACAGAGAAAGAGCCTGGGATCTTTCCTGATTAATGGCGTTTTGAAGAGATAAGAGCTACGAGTGTGTTTGTGTGTGATGACATCAGAGGTCTGAACTCAGTCTGATCCGTGAGTTTAGGTAAACATCAACTCTGATGGTCTCGACACACAATTGGCCTTTTTCTCCGTCAGCAGCTGTTTGCTATTTTGAGAGTTTTCTTAATAAAACCATGAAACTTGATGTAACTGCTGCAGGAAAACGGATTTTCTGGCAGTGATATTTTGCAAAAATAGCACAAGATGGTCTTTGTCCAAACTAAAGTTAGATAGATATTTTCTTTTCTTTGAGTTCTCGTCAGAGTCGACCTCACAGGACAGATTTTCTGTGTGTGGAAAATAAAGACAGGGATCAGATCTGGTCTCGTAGCAGGCGGCCTGGCGCGGCTCAGAACGGCACCACAAGGAGTTAAAAATCGGACTTTCTGTTGCTGTGTAAAATGCAGCCTTTGTTTCTGGGTCATGAACCAGCCGAGGTCACCGACTTTAACCGAACCAAACAAACACACACACGTCACTTTGCACTAATTGATTCCCCTCCCAGCAGAGACGGGAATTAGGGTTTGTGTGAGTCTGTGCGCGCATGTGTGTGTTTACTTTAAAGGATCTGTCAGGAGTTTAAGTAAATAGATAAGTGACAAAGTAAACATCCATTCCACACACACACACACACACACACACACACACACACACACAAACACACACACCCTAACGACATCCTACTTCAGATATACATTTCTACACACACATTAAATGTGCGTGAGTCATATTATTGAAAATCGTTCTGTGTTCACAACGTCCTGGCGATGAACTTTTCCTAATAATAACCCAATTATAAGTGTGTGTGTGTGTGTGTGTGTGTGTGTGTGT